TATATTGTTATATTTTGTATATTCCCTAGAAATACCAAATTTCCGACAAGGTTTAGCAGCAATCTCAACCCATTTTGGATCATATGAGTGATACATTTTAAAAAATAAATATAATAAGAATTAGATAAAGTTTCATTTTTGTCACACTTGAATACTACACCATAGTACAGGCTCATCTGGAAGTGGCTTGGAGCTGCTGGCTGACCCTCAAGCACTAAAGGACCTTTATATTCCTCTAAACTCAAACTGAATGAATCCCCATCACCATAAGCTAGCAGAGAGATGAGATCTTTAAGTTGTTTCGCTAAGAAGAAGTGAAAGAGAAAAAAATAAAAGGGAGATCTTAAAAATCAGAAAGCTAGCCTGGCATTTACAGCTAGGCACGATTGTTCTATTGGATGTAAACCATTTCACAGACTCAAAAACCTCAAAGAGAGGTACTCTAGGGCTATGATAAAATGAGACGAATCAAGGCCACTCAATTTTGTCTAAGAAGATAAAACGAAAGTCAGTGTAGCACCCATCAAAAAGTAAGCATACACTACCCAAGCTCAAATGAGTGCCTACAAATTCTTTATCAACTACTTCTTTACCTTTGTTCTAGTCTTACCTCCCTTTGGATCAGATTTATTTAGATATCAATCGTAAAAGTATTTCTATCTTTTATCAACATCCAATCTGAAGTAAGCATCCAATTTCTATATTCTCTTCAACAAATCACACTCTTCAAAGCCCAATCCTATAATATAGTCAATGTTTTTAATTTAGAAAATTGCTTTTAATTGATTCATTATAAATTCAATATAATTTATAGATACAATTCTAAGAACATGGTGATATTTCCTGATTTCCTCCCTTCTCTTTCCCCTTTTTTTTCTGTATTTTTTAGTTTTTGAGATAATGGTTAAAAAGGGCTAAGTTTTTTTGTCGTTGTTGGTGATTTTTGTTTTTTGTTTTGTATTGGAGGAATTGTAAAGGAATCAGGAATTTAACAGTGATTAATAATAATTGTGGCTGGCATGGTGTAGGGAGTAAAGCCACAATCTGTGACACTGGCATCGTATGTGGGTGCCCATTCAAATTCTAGCTGTTCTGCTTCTGATCCAGCTCCGTGCTACTGGCCTAGGAAAGCAGTGAAAGTTGTCCCAAGTTCTTGGGCACCTGAAACCCAAGTAGGAGACCCAGAAGAAGTTCCTGGCTGGTTTCTGGCTTCAGTTTAGCCCAGCCCTGACTATTGCAGCTTATTCGGGAAATAAATTAGTGAGTGAAAGTTGTCTTCCACCTGCCTTCACTGCTCTGTAACCCTATGCTTCAAGTGAATCAAATAAATCTTATAAAAATGATTAATGGAAGGATGCAGCACTGTAGTACAGTAGATCAAGCTGTCTGTTGCAATTCCAGGATCCCATGTTGGAGCACTGGTTTGAAATTAGGTTGCTCCACTTCTTTTTTTTTTTTAAAGATTTATTTTTATTATTTTTTTATTGGAAAGGCAGATATACAGAGAGGAGAGACAGAGAGGAAGATCTTCCTTCCGATGATTCACTCCCCAAGTGAGCGCAATGGCCGATGCTATGCCAATCCCAAGCCAGGAGCCAGGAGCCTCTTCTGGGTCTCCCACGCGGGTGCAGGGTCCCAAAGCTCTGGGCCGTCCTCGACTGCCGTCCCGGGCCACAGGCAGGGAGCTGGAAGGGAAGTAGGGCTGCCGGGATTAGAACCGGCGCCCATATGGGATCCTCGGGCGTGCAAGGCGAGGACTTTAACCACTTGCGCCACCCTGCTAGGCCCAGGTTGCTCCACTTCTGATCCAGTTCCCTATTAAGATGCCAGAGGAAGCAGTGGATGCTAGTCCAACTAATTTTTTTCTACCTAAGTAGGAGACCTGGGTGGAGATCCTGGCTCCTGGCTTAGATCTGGTCCAATCACAGTCATGGAAACCACTGAAGGAAAACCTGAAGATGAAGATCTTTCTTTCCACCTTTCAAGTAAATAAGTAAATCTTTCCAAAGAAGTTATGGGGGTGGGGCAAAAGGTAGAGAATTCTGTATCAGATACTCCAAAAAAAATCATAGAAAAAGCCAAATATGAAAATACTATACATGAACTCCAAACTGTTTTTGCACAAAAGTAACTGAATCTTTTAATTCAATTTTTCATACTTTTGGGGGTACCCTTCTATTTGCCAGATGTACATTTGAAATATCTGCTGTTTAGGTTCGTTTATAACAGTAAGTCATCATATAATTTGTCAACTGTTTCAACATAAGAAGAAAGGAAATAGATATTTATTAGCTTCCCTGAGAGAAAGAGGTAACATTTTAGGAGGACTGTCCAAATAGGAAGAGGAAAGGACGTATGTGGTATTTTTCTCACCAGTTGATAGTTGATAGAAGAGACAAAATAAGAAAATCAGCAGTTTTACAGGCTGATCTCTGTGGCTCAAATTTAGAAGGAAGAAGCACATTAAAAAATGGAAGAAAAGGGCCCGGTGCAGTGGCCTAGTGGCTAAAGTCCCCACCTTGAACGAATTTGCATCCCATGTGGGTGCTGGTTCTAATCCCTGCAGCCCCGCTTCCCATCCATCTCCCTGCTTGTGACATGGGAAAGCAGTTGAAGATGACCTTGGGACCCTGCACTTGTGTGGGAGACCCGGAAGAGGCTCCTGGCTCCTGGCTCCTGGCTTCAGATTGGCGCAGCTCTGGACGTTGCAGTCACTTGGGGAGTGAATCATTGGACAGAAGGTCTTCTTCTCTGTCTCTCCCCTCTCTGTATATCTGACTTTGCAATAAAAAAATAAATATTTTTTAATGGAAGAATAAATTAGAAATAGAGGAGCTTTTGTTTTATACTTCTGTGAGATCACATTACAAACACTTGAAGTGAAACTGCCAGCAATGAGAAATTTTTCCTTATGGCTCTCAGCTCCCATGTGACATGGAGGGGATCGAGAAAATCCCTGTATATCACTCTCCTTCCACCGATTCGTGTCATTAATGTAAGTCCCTATACATCCAGATGACATTGTGGAAGAGTAGTTAAGAATCATGAAGTACAGACAAATACACAGGATCTTGTTAAAGTGCTAACATTGTTAAATAGCAATACAATTATCAAAATGATTAAAATTGATGTTTTTGCTTTCCTGCAATCCTGTGTAATCAAAACAGATTTAGAATTGAACAATAAAAAGACACATTTTCTTTGTATCTCTTGGGTTAGTGTTAATAATTGGCACTAATTTATTAATACAATAATTTTCATAAAATGAAAGATATTATCTTTATTAATTATTTTATTTTTGATGGTGTTCACATAGTAGAGGAGGATGCATGCTCATGTGAACCACTGAATCTTGTGGGGAGGGACAAGGAATGGGAGGAAGTGGATGACACAGCTATTTCCAATCTCCTTTTCATTACTTCCTGTATCTGGGGAAAGTGAGGAAAAGGCATGCCACTGTATCAGTTCCCAGGGATGGGGGATAGTCATCCAATGCAACCCCTGGGTCCCCGAGGTGGAGCATGTTCCGAGGGTACTGTTAAGTGGTTTCGATAGTTCTGAGATGCTATTGATTTCATTGCTCCAAGGATGAGGAAAGCCTTCCAATGTCCATTGTCTGACATAGCCCACCTCAGAGTCTCCACTTGCCCAGACACTTGCATGGTCAGGAGAGCTGTCCAATTTGTTCTGCCCTCTATGGAACTAGACGTCCTCTGCAGGCATAAATGAACTGGCTGTCATGTACTCCAGTGCATCTGGGCATACTGCACACTGCACAGGCTTCCACAACCCTGGAGACCCAGTTCTGACACATGCACTCTGTGGCCAAACCACAGATCCTGTGATTTTTCCTCGTGGTTGGAGTTTTAAGTTCAGTGGTCCAGTTGGTGGGGGAAGATCCCCAAAGGAACCTCAGCATGACCCCAGATCTGACTCCTGTGTGTGCCAGCAAGTGAGGGGTCCAGCTCAGTCATCATTCACATCAGCCTGCACACACACACACACACACACACACACACACGCGGTTGCAATTGCTGGGTTAGTTCTGTACCCAGCAACATCTCATACACAATCCAGTGGATGCTGCAGTCCAGCCGAACCCTGCCTGCCATGCACTCAGCCTTCAGGTACACCAGCGGGAACTGCTTCCTAGTTAGAGTGACCCCCAATAATCCCTAACAGGCCCACCCCTAGCCTTGGTTCCCATGCATACTGGTATGTACAGTGTACTGGGACAGCCTGTCCTGCATCCCATTATGCTCTCATCTCATACATGCCAATGGCTGCTGGAGCCTAGTTCAGCCCAACTGACTCCACTATCCAATCCACACTCATGCTGACAGGTGCTACCACCTCTCCAGTCAGGCCCACCCCCATTCTTGATTCTCATGCACACTGGTGGGAGCTGAAGCCCATCAGAAGGGAGCCCACAATTTCCTTAGTAGGCCTACTCCCAGCCCCGGATTTTGCACTTTCCAGGTGATACTACAGTCTAGCCTAGCCTGATAGCACCCAACCCTCCACCCCCTGCCCCCCCACCTGGTACTTGCCAGCTGATGCTGCAGAAAGGCCCAACCAGCCTGTACTTACCTTGGCTCATGTATGCACCACTGGATATGGTTACTTACTCCAGCATGACTCTTCTCCCCAGCCCAGCTCACACACAGACCAATTTGATTTTTGGACCTGTACAGTCTGGTCTGCTCCAAGTACCAGCTCTCATGCTCACCAATATGAGCAGTGGCTCAGCATGGGTGGGTTCATACCTGTTGTCTCCCCAGCCCCCCTCCCCATCTTCTGTGTGTTGTTGGATGCATGTCTCGGTCTTTTTTTTTTTTTTTTTACTTTTATAAAACAATAATAATAAAAAACAATTCTTTATCTTTAGGGAAATGGGCATATGGATTTTGGTTTAGATAATATATTTGCTTGGTATTTCCAAATGAATTCCAACAGATATACTATTTTTATAGTGAGAAAGTAAAAAAGCAATGTTTGAATGAAACACTTTGAATTATTTATTCATTTTATTTTTCAGTGAAATAACATGAATTATTTTCTCGTTGATCACTTTCAATAATTATTCAATAAGCTACAAGAGAACTATACACTATAAGCATGTATACAACTACACAGAATATGTGCAAACTTTTAAAAATACAGTGTTAACACTTCACTGATAAACAACAACTCCAAATAAGTTTTATTATTTATCACAGCCACATAAAATACAAGAGCTTATAAACAAGCTGTTACTAACAATGTGGTTTTGCCTGAAAATCTTAATTATATGCAGGCCTCTTAAGCATTCAGGTTTTAAATTCTACTGCATTTCTTTTGCAAAACGAAGCAGGCATAACAAAATTAAACCAGCTAGTCAAAAGGTTAAGAAAAGAAAAACACAAAAATCAACAAGGCAAAACATCTGGGTTGGTTCCCAAGTTTTTCTTTCCAAACAAATAAAATATTGGTTTCATTTAGCATATCCAGTACATTCAGTCTCAGATCAATAGTTACACAATAAAAGAAATAAACTACACAATACTATTTTAATTTTCTAAATAATTTACCACAGTGTACATATCTGAAAGTGTTTTACTGCTAAAGTGCATGATCAAATTAATTAATATTTGAACCTCTCTTGTATTTCTGAGACATTTTAACTGACACTACAAGAAAAATACAGAACACAAGACAATAATCAACTTCTTGTATTTTGAGTGACAAGATCTAGGGCAGTAAACGTCAGGACCTGCTTTAGCAATCAGCATCTCCTCTTTTGCTTCTAGCGATCAATGTCTTCTACCAATGCCTCAAGATTTTTGCAACAGGCTTTAACCTCCTCAATTGCAGCCATCCAATTATCGTAAATAATTTTGTCATAAATTGCATCATTAACTTCCCTAATCACTCCCTCCTGCTGAGATTCAAGCGCATCACCTGAGAAAAACAATACTGATCTTGGTATTATATAAGTACGCAAATTGTGACCAAGTAAAAAATCATCAGTTCCATCTCCATTTAAGTTCAGACCATGAGGAGAGAAGAAATTGAAGAATGAATCTTTGGGGAAATCTTCCGTCACGGTTCGGATTGTTCCCCATATCCGATGCTTCTGTTTCTTCTTGACGGTTCTCAAAGTGACATTTTTTCCTTCGTTCCAGTCTATCTCGCAGCCTGTGGAATATTCAATTGCAGTTCCCCTATAGGGATGGGGATCATAATATGACAGCTTTGATTTGAGCACATAAGTCTTCGTCAACAGCTCATTTTTGAAATACTCGTTGGGTTTGAAGTGAAATTCTAGTGTGAAACTGAGAGGCTCTCCAGGCTCTGAAAGCCTCACTTTAATATCTGTTAGCAGCTTCAGAATAGGCTCATCATACTTCTTAATAAGAGGAGTGAGTGTGTCAACATTTTTTAAAACAGTCAGCCAAAAATCAGGAATTCCCTTGGGATCCTCTTCTTTATTCTCTTCTCCTCCTCCGATAGCCTCAGTCTCCTCTTCTTCCTCCTCCTCTTCTTCAATCGCATAATCATAATAATAGTCCTCATAGCCATCATCCTCATCCACGTATTCATGCACCACACTGTCCTCATTACCATACATTTCTTCCTCATCGTCCATTTCCTCATCATCATAGTCCTCAGGGTCTAATTTATATTCACATTCTTCTTCCGTGGGTTCATAGATTGCATTGATGATCTGACGCCTTTTTTCCAGTAAAGGCTGATACATTTCAGCAAACTTTCTTTCAATGTCATGAAATTCCCTAAGGAATTTAGATTCTAAATTGGCCGCTCTGGTTTGAAGCTTTTTGAGGGCTAACACGCGATACTTAACTTTCACAGGCAAGCTTTCCACAAAGTCCGTATCTAAAAGGTAACCAATCAGTCCTTTTGGACGATCTGCTTCTGCCTCCTCCTTAGTAGCTGCACCTTTCTCTTCATCTTCCCCTGACCCAGCAGCTGCATCTTCACCTTTTGCCGCTTCCATGAGCCCAGAAGCAGCTTCCACTGACTCCCCATCTCCAGGCCCCGCCACGGCTTCTTCACCGGGCTCCTGAGGCTCCCCAGGTCCCTCCATCATGATTTTATTATCAACCTCTGCTTGGTTAGATTCTGATGGCTCCTTGTGGTCGGCTGACTCGGCCATTTTTCAAAGCACTACACACACCCAAGGTGGCTACTACCCAGGATGAGAGCTGATCTCCACAGGAAAACGACTCACCGAAAAGTCAAAACGACGGTGGCTGGGGCACAGGCGGAACGAGGAAAGGCGGCTGGAATGTGGCAGCGGCTCGGGACACTGCTGAGTGGATGCAAGACGGCGCTGAGACTGAGAGCCGGACCTAAGCAGCAGCGGTGCAGTGGGAGGCGAGGCTGGGGTGCTCGGCCCTGAAAGAGCGAGCTGGAGACTGCAGAGAGCCGCAGTGGGCAAACCACCTCCGAAAGCAGCTGCTGCAGCAAAGGGGGAAAAAAAGCCAGTGCCGCAATGTGATTACGCAGTTGTCTCTTGGCTGAATTTTCTTGGCTCAAGTAGCTGACTGCGTCACTCCCTTCCCGCCCACAACTCTGTTCTCGTCTCATTTGCTGAGCTGTGTGATTGACAAACCCTAAGCCAATGCATTTCTAGATTTAGAAATTATCCAACTTTGTTCACCTTTACAGACAGGTTCTGGAATATGGCTGATTCATGCACCCCCTCCAGGCCATCCTTCACCCCCTCCCCTCGCCACACACCCACGCATACACATTTCTTCCTGGAGCTTTCTAGAATCTCTCCCCCCACCCCCAAATTATTATTAGTGTAGTTATTTAGCTTTCAACTAATGTTATTATTATATTTTTAATTCCAAAAAAGCTAAGGCAAAAATCGTAACTACAGTGTTGGAGAATTAAAAGAAAAGCACCAACCCATTTTAAAGGGATCGTTTTGATTTCAGTCCCTCTGAGGAAGGGATAGTTGGGGAGCGGAAGAAATTAAGAAGAGATGCTAGAAACGTTTTAACATACTTAACATTTAAAAAATTAACAAAGTTAACATGAATGACACCAATTGTCTTTAACGGCATTTGAATAATGTGATTGTCAGTAATTTAAATATTTTGTATTCCCCGTGTCTGTATTTTTCCACCAGCTCCATTATTTTAGATGAGAAAATTCTCATAACATTTCCTCTTAGGCGGGGAGAGGTGAAATGGAGATGAGCATGAAGGAGAGCCCCTGATGAAGAGCCAGTGTGGCCCATTCAATCCCATGAGCAATGAAAATGACAGTAAACCAGTTCTAACTAACCTCACTAACCTCAGCACTAATGATGACTTTCCCCGACTTCTTTCTTCATTCTGGTTCTTTAAAAAGCCGTTGGAGAATTTTATTAAGGAAAGCCAAAACATAAGTTAATGGTCTTAAAAAAATAACATTAGTTCAATAATTTATATAGCTAATTGGGAATAATTCAGATCTGATCACTAAAGAGATGTTTAAATACATGCTAGTGTAATTGCTAGGATAGAACATTATGCAGTGGTTAAATGTTTTTTCTACATAGAATTCACTGAAGATGCTTATTTTATCAATATTTCCAAAGTTAATAATTTGTTAATTGAAAAATATTTAAGAACTTATTATCTGCTATTTTCCAGGTTTAGAGTATAATTTTATTGTGTGATTATCACAGATATAAGCACTCTGACCTATTATTGCATGTTTATTTCTAGATTCTGCCATTCTATGTATGTATATATATATAATACTTATTTCTGTGTACTGCATACCATAGTTACAGAATTCAGTTGTTTTAATTTTGTTCTGTATTTTATTTTTTCATATTTTACATTTTATTATTATTTTTAATATATATATATTTATTAATTACATTGCATTATATGACACAGTTTCATAGGCTCTGGGATTCCCCCAACCTCTCCCTGTACCCTTCCCCCACGGCAGATTCATCCACCTTGTTGCTGTATTACATTTCAAATTCAGTCAAGATTCTTTCATTGCAAACATACACCAAACATGGAGTCCAGCATCTTATTATCCAGATAAATTCAACGGTTTCTTGGGGAGACCTTCTCTGATCTGAAGGCAGAGCTGGCAGAATATCATCCCGATCACTTTTAAAGCCACAACATTACATCAATGACATTTACAACATTATGGAATTAATTGACATGGTATTGAGTAACAAATATGTTTTTTTAAAAAAAAGCAAGTTCTTAACCACATCCTGTGACTATTTTATTGACATTTCAATTTTAGTTTATACACAGAATCAGCTGCTATACACCTTAAAATGGCTATAGGGTACTATTCAGCTGTCTCATGTCTATTTTCATTTTAGTATTTAGCAGTTTATACTGTTGAAACATAATTTTGCTGAACTTGGCAGATTTTAGGATAGTCTAAACTGGGTTATAACTCTAACAAGGCATAAGTCAACAGTTAAGGTGCAGCACAGTTTTAGGAGGGGTATGCAGAGAAATCTCCAATGTCCTAGTGGGGATTAACTAATCTTTGTGTCCTACCTAGTAAGGTATATGTGAATCCATGCTGACCATTTCCTGTCTGGTTCTAAGCTTTCCTTGTTGTTCTCTGCCTATCTATTCTAATTTGTGTGTGTGTGTGTGTGTGTGTGTGTGTGTGTGTGTGTGTGTTTGCGGGGGGGGGGGGGTAGGGCTCTGGAGCGACCCTGATGGTCATTGCAAGAGAGAATGGGGATCCAAAGTTGGAACTAAGTAAGGACCAGAGAAAGCTCCTCTCCCTAGTCCCGAAGGAAGTTTACTGTTCTGTTTCTGCGGACCGCTCAGGATTCCTGGCTGTTGTTCGGATGACCTTGTATACTGTGAGGAAGGATTTGGGCTTCTTCCATCCTGTGTGGTAGATCCAAGCGGGGGTGGATGACCTCAGAGTTCTAGGCCTCTGAAGGCACTCCTGTTACCCGTGGTCTCTTTGGCAGTTGGGATGTAGTCCTTGGTGCCTGTACTGATAGTCCTTGGTGAGGAACCGGGAGTCTCCAGGGTTGGGATACAAGCCTCCTCCTGTCCCCCTGCTCCACTCTGGGGACCCCCCTGCTCTGTGCATATGACCTCCTGTTAAGAGGTTGTCAGGGTTGCTCTTGACAGAATTCAATTTTTAAGCCAGTTTGTTAGTTCCATAGTCATGAGTCCCATTTATTTCAATTCTTCTTTTTCTGGTTCTGTAATTGTAATATTTCCTATAGCTTTCTGATGATAAACTATGTACATGCACATTTTAGAAAATTTAGAAAATGAGACTTTGAGAATATAGTAGAAATGACCAGTAATCTCACAAGTCTTTGAGTGTCAGTGTGAACATTTTGGTTCTTTTGTTTTCTAATTGTTTTTTTTTCTTGTATATACTCAAAAGTTTGTGTTTAGGTTTTCAAAATTTAGGCTAAACAAGTTTTTTCACAAACATTTTCTTTTATTAGAATATCTCATTCCTTAAATACTCTTGAATAATGTGATTTTAAAAACTCAGTGTTACTTAAATACATTATAGGTAAACTAAATGGTTAGAAGAACAAAGAGAAAAAAAAATCTTTATTTACTTTTAAGACTGAAGATTTATCAAAGGTATATATATATGGTCGCAGATACCACAAGGGAAATGACATGTTCATTCCATAAAACAGAAAAAGATATAACACCAAAAACTTAAGCAGCAAAGGAAAAAACATATAGTGTACTTCAAAATTAAAATTTCTGCTTAACAAAGGACACTATCAACAGAATTAGAAAGCAACCATGGAATGGAAGAAAATAATTGCAAATCATATATCAGAGAGGAGATTAACATCTTGTATGAACAAATCAATAACCAATAACCAAACAAGCCAAGTTGAAAAATAGGTGGAGGACTTGAACAGATTTTTCCAAAGAGGAATGAGCCATCAATAAAGTCATGAAAAGATATCATAAATTAGGAAAATGCAAATCAAAACTACAATGAGATCCAACTTCATATGTATTAGAAAAACTATGGTAAAAAGCATACAGAAAATACCTAATATTGATAAGGATGTGGGCAATAAGAAGCAGTAGAACATTTCTTCAAAAACAATATTCTACTTGTGATCTCCAACCAATCTTTGTACATCCATGTGAATAAGATGAACATTATTGAAATAACATCCATGAACAGCCTGCATGGAAACATACTTCTCTCTGTTTCCACCTATGAACATAATAATTTCTGCTACACTTCCATTATATCCCTTTAAATACAGAATCAGTCTACATAGTCCACCACGGGGAGAAAAAATAGCGAACCTTTATCCACATGAGGTTAACAAACATGTAACAAATGTATCAATGTAAAAATAACAATATAAGTAAAAATAAAATAAAAACTACCATTCATGAACATTATTCACAATATTCAAAAGTTAGAAACAACCTAAATGTCCATGTTAATGTCTTTAAAAAGTATATGTTTGTGTAAGAGAACATTATTTAATACCAGAAAGACATTTCATTTCATCACATATTACAGCACTGATGAAACCTAAAAAACACTAAGTAAAATATTCCAGACACAAAAGGACAAACGTTGTGTGATTTCACTAAATGAATTTTCTAAAGTGCTAAAAGTCTTAGGCACCTAAAGTAGAATCATGGCAACCAGAAGTTGTGGGCAAGAGAGAAATGGAAGACACTGCTTAATGGGTAGAGTTTCATTTTATAAAAAACTTGAACGCTCTGCAGCTGGATGATGTTAATGAGTCACAACAATGTGAGTATAAATACTCCTGAAGTTCAAACTGTAGTACCGTTAAAATGTTAAATTTTACATTCTACTACATATATTTTGTCATTATAAAAATGCTGAGGGCCATGTGTGGTAGCCTAATGGCTAAAGTCCTCCCCTTGATTGTGCTGGGATCCATATGGGTGCCTGTTCTAATCCTGGTTGCTCTACTTCCCATCCAGCTCCCTGCTTGTGGCCTGGGAAAGCAGTCACGGACAGCCCAAAGCCTTGGGACCCTGCATCCACGTGGGAGACTAGGAAGAGGCTCCTGGCTACAGATCAGCACAGCTCCAGCCATTCTGATTACTTGGGGAGTGAACCATTGGATGGAAGATCTTTCTGTCTAACCTCTCTGTATATCTGACTTTCCAGTAA